GGGCGTAGGCCGGGCTGCCGCCGGGACCCTGCCCGTTGGCGCCCATTCCCCGGGCGGTGGGGAGAAGCAGGAGGCGTCCGAGCAGCCCGGGGGCCCTGGAGGCTTTGCCGGGGCGGCGACGGGCGAGTCTCTCGTCAGCAGGCCGCCCGGGAGCGCGCGGGAGCCGAACTTGCGCTTTGCTTTTCCCGTTCGGCGTCTGCCTTGCTGAGTTCTCTCCGCCTGCCAGACCTGGGCTGTCTGGACGCAGACACCGTCTCCACATTCCCCACCACCCCAAAACCGGTGGCTCTGCGGGTTGCCCTGATTCACACAACATGATAAGACAGTGTCTGGATTCCCACAGCCCCATTTTAGCCTATTATGTAAACCTGACCTCTGTGTGTGTGTATGTGTGTGTGTGTCAAGTGAAGGTAGCGTAGTAGTGATTATAAGAGTTGGACGAGGAGACCTGGATCCAGATTCCATGTAGTTGTGAAAGGGAGTGAACGAGGCTTGTCTTTCTTAGCATCGTGTACATATCGTGAGGCAAGAAGGAACTGGATATCCTCCTTTAACTCTACAGTTTGAAGGAACGAAGGAATTAAAAGTTCAGTTACACTATTCGCTCTATTGGAGGCTTGACATTTATTCGCAGGTGGATTATTTATAGATTTTTGGGATTGTTCTTCCCATTATTTTACTGCTCAGTTCTTGGTTTAGGAGTACCTCCGGGGTAAGGCAGTAACTGTTTGGAAGGCAGTCTTTTCAGCTACTCCGCGCCTCCTCGGGAGATGGCTATCCACACCCTGCAAGGGAAGCCCTCATTTCTGCGGGCAATCAGTTCACAGTCAAACTGCTCGTACTGTGAGGGAGTGTTTTTCCTAACATTCCAGTGGAATCTGGCTTCCTGTAACTTAAGAGCATTTTTTTAAGTCTGCACTCTGAAATGGTAAAGAACAGCCCTCTGTGAGACATTCCCCAGGGTCTTGGAGGAGTGCTGTTCTATCTCCCCTCACACCTAGTTCCCTTAACGTCTCTTGGTGGGAGTTTGTTTTCAGTTTCATTCTTTTTGCCCTTCTTGCAATCTGTTTATTTCTCTCACGACTTCCTAAAATATGGGGCCCAGAACTGGATTCAGAACAGGTAGTCCTTGAGTTACGATGGTAACTGAGACCGGAATTTCTGTCGATAAGCGATGCAGTCGTAAAGCGCTATGTCATGGGGCTGCATCACTTAGTGAAAGCAATTCTGGCAGTCTCCGTTGCTGTTGTTAACCAAATCCCGTTGGTTGTTAAGTGAGGACCCACCCCAATCCAAGCCATTCCTGGCTTGGTCCCTCCCAGCCCTGAGCCTGAGTAAGGTAAGGGACTGCCTCCTCTTGAACATTCCCCACCCACCTCCCTGGTCCATATCTACCCTTTTGACCACCCTACACAGTGGCACTCCTCAGTGGCAGTGGCAGTGCTGCCGAGGAATGCCACTGTGCAGGGCAACCAAAAGGGCAGAGATTAGGGGAAGATAGGCAGGTGGCGGAAGCTGAAGTGCCCCTGCGGTCATGGGTGCAGGCAGGCTGCCGAGAGCCTGAATTTTGATCACGTGACCATGGGGGTCATATGATCAGGGCCATAACTTTGGAGACTGGGTGTCAGTATCATTTGTTGAGCACTGCCCTAACTTCAAATGGTCGCTGAATGAATGGTTGATAAGTGAGGACAACCTGTACTTGAGGTCTGTTCTGACCGATGTAGAATAAAATGGAACTATTCCATCCTGTGATTTACATACAGTACTTCTGGTGATGCAGTCTAAAATGTAGTTGCCTTTTTTTTTTTACAACGATGTCACCTTGCAGTTTCATACTCAACTTATGATTAGCTACAATTCCAATATTCTTTTCACACATCAAACCAGGTATCTTTTGTCCTATCTAATGGTTATATTTTGAATTTCAATTCTCTCTTCTAAAGATTAGCCATCCCATTCATTTTTATGTCATCTCCATGTTTTTATATCTTCATCCTAAGTCATTAATGAAAATGTTGATGAGTGGAGGGCACGGGATAGAACTTCAGAACTACCCACTCACCACCTTGAAGGCTTGGGTAATGACCTTCAGAGAAGACGTTAATTTTCGTTAAAACCTAGCAGAGGAAGATGATAACGCAGTAGTAGAGGCAGTCACGTGGATCAGCCAGTGTTGGCTGGTTTTAGTTTCTTGTGGGTGCCATCAGAGCAACCTGGGATTTTACTGCAGGGAGACAGGCAGTCTTCTGTAGTGAATCCTTGCTACTTGACAGGATTATAGTGCCAGTGCTATTTGTGTTTCGCAAATAAAGTGCTGATTAATTTAATAAGGGTTGTATATTATAGTGATTTTTATGTGTATATTTGTATAAAAGGATTAAGTAACTGAACAAATCACACAGCCTGAGTGCTATCCCTTTGTTATGGATCACCTTTTCCCCTTTGCCCCCCTCTTGCTGACCTTTCATAAAGCAGTCCTATTCTGATTTTGGTGGGGACGGTGGACCTGGGCTGCCTGTATAATTTTTCTTTCTTTGAAATTTATTTTTACTGTTTTATTCTATTATAAACCACCTGAGTCTGTTGAAGTAAGTTGGTATATAAACTATATACATTTCGTTGATTTCTTTGACATAGTTATTGGTTTAGGATTGCTACTCTGAATTTACAATCCTAGTCTTCTGAAAGTAAAATTGTCAGAATATTTCTGGTCTAAAATCTAATGCATTCACAGCTGATTGCCTGTTTGCATGGGAAGTTGTCTGCAGTGGATTGATTTATTGTTTTGAACGTTTTAGAATTTATTCTAATTGATGTCATGGTCCAATATGTAGCATGCTATAAACTCAGACAATGAACAGTTGAGGCAATAAATAACACAGTAAACAACAAATACCACCAGATAACTCTGAAAAAAGACACACCATCTTAAAAGAAATATCATTTTAAAAAAGTAAGAATGCCACCTTTAAAAAGAAAACAAAATTGGGGCAATGAGTAGAATAAAACTGATACAACAAGCAAGTACCACACAATAACCACAGCAGCAGTTGTCTTCTTTGCAGAGATGTGAAATTTATATTGTCTTTTGGCAATATATCAAGTCTGTCCCTAGTTGTGAGGGCATATCACAACTGCTGCAACAATAGGACAGGCCTGCTGTTGGTAGAAGTCCACTATTCTTAGATAGTTGGGGTTAAGGTCTCAGGTCATGATTTGATCCAAATCCAAAGGTGGCATATGAGGCGAAGTAAATCTCTTCGGTTCTCAGGTTAAGAGTTAAACTAATTAAACTTGGTTAGCTAGTTGTTTCCAGACTCAGTATACATAGAACAAGCTATGATTCGTATTCCAGCTGACCAGATCTAACAAGCAGTTGCCAATGAAGTTCTGTACCAAATCAAATTTTGAAATGCCTTTTTAAGGTCAATCCCATGCAGAGTGCATTGTGATAGCCCAGAGTCACACTGTTTGAATTGGGTGGCTTTATAAAATTAAACAAACAAACAAACAAACCTAAGTTAACTGGAGCACCCAAAAAGGGGTACAATGAGTGAATCAGTTCAAAGGGCTAACTCTTATTATTTGGATATGAAAGAGGAGACCTAAGGGTTCGTGTGTTACTTAGGGTTCTTGTTATTATAGCTTCTGATTTTCCCCTTAACTGTATAAACAAGATGGGCAATGAAGTGAATGAAAAGTTTATTGATAATGTAAGCAAAACTTAAGGCAAAACTCTTTTTAACAAATATTTACTTAGTAGAAACAGTACTCATGGATTGATCCCAGTGTACATATGATGTTAAATTAATAAGTACTCCCAATGTTAAATTCTTTTTATGCCTGATGGTGAATTACATTTATGGATTTTCGTGGAGTAAATAGATTGGTAATAGTTGACCTTCTTTGTCAGTGAAAAATTTTGTACTTAAGTTCTCTTAAGTTCTGGATTGCATCATTTCATATGCATAGCAGCTGTCCTGTATAACGTGCTCTTCAGTTTGTGTTGAAGTGAACAAAGGGCACCTGTGATCTTTTGCCAAGACCTTCCTCTTTATTTGAGCTACAGCAATGTGCAGTTGGTGGAAGACTTGGAATCAATAGCCAATAAGTCTTTGGAACCTTTTTGAAGTTTTGGAGAGAGGCTGTATGTGGCCCTGGAGACTGGGGTTGTGCACGGTGCTTGATTCTGGAAGATTTGGATGACCTTGATCAGCGTGCTCTGTTGGTCCTAATTCTTTCATGCTGCCTGCAGGATTCTAAAGAAATATGATCAGTGTTAGATTAGATCAGTCTTTCTCAACCTTTTTTCACCCATGGCCCCCTTCCAACCTTGTTTTCCTCCTGTACCCTCTGTCCAGATCCCATTACTGGATATGGACATGGGATAGTAACTGGGGTGTTTTCTGGCTTCCACAAGGCAGTATTTGCATTTTGTTTTCCTGTGGCCCCCTCCACGCATTCTGTGCCCCCCCATTACATGTTTTTCACCTGTGGCCCCTTTGAAATATCCTAGGAGCTCTGGTTGAGTACCGCTGAATCAGATGACTTTGACCCAAGTCAACATCTGTTGTAAAAGTGAGACAAATCTGTGGGCTGGTTTGTTTGCTTACAGCACAGACTACAACTGAACTGTTGTTTAAGATGCTGCATGCTGGTGCAACTTTGCACTCTTAGGTTCGCCCTTAGCTAATGGTGTCCTTTTCATCTTTAGTTTCTAATTTGTATACCAACTACTGCAGTGGGTGCCTTCTATATAATAGTTACATTAACTATATAGATAATAAGGGAGTTATGTTCTACATAATTAATTAGCATTTTAGTTATAATTCCTAGAGTTTATTGCCTTAAAGTAAAAGGGTGGGGTTTTTTTTAGGATAATTGTATTGAACTGTTACAATGACTTAATAATTTTGGAGATAATTGCAATGCAAATACATTCTTGTTTCAGGGTGTACATTCTAACTATAATAACGGTTTCTGTTTGTTACAGAGTTCTTCACAAATTCCTACGAAAATATTTGGTAAAATATATTGGATGTTCTGATGTTTTAATTGATAGTTTTATTGTGTATAAAACAGTTGTTTAAATCATGTAATAGATACAGAACATTATGAAACTGGAATAGGATTTCTTGATTTAAAAAGAAATTTAAAAGGATTTCAGAAAATTTATTTTTCTTGTGTCACTTTATATTACAGTATTTCTAGCATTTATAGAACCATAGCACAGTGATTTGTGCTTTGCACATCGATAACTGGCATTTAATTATTTTATTGCATGGGTAAACATGTATTCTGTCATTGTAATCCTTGAGCCCTAACTCAGAAGAACCTAAGTGTGCAGAAAGTTAAATCCTTGAGCCCTAACTCAGAAGAACCTAAGTGTGCAGAAAGTTAGCTTACAGTGAGTCAAACTGTTGGTCCATATAGATTAATCTTCTTGAAAAAGATAGCCAATTGCACTGTAGGCAAGAGTTTTTTCCAGACCTGCTTGCAAAGAGAAAAAAAGTTAGAAGTGGCACTGGAGTTTTCTTGGAAGATGTAGGGGTACATCCTGAAGCTATGCACGTGGGAAAAAAATCATGGTATGATATGGATGAGAATCTTGAGTTTGTTTTGCAGTATTGATGGTGGTGATCTTCATTACTGTCAAATCAGAGATTCTTGAGATAGTGAGTAATATGCCCTCTATTAAATTACAGATAGTTCTCACTTATTGGTGGTAATTGGGACCAGGAATTATGTCGCCAAGCAACGTGGTTGTAAGGTGTGACTTCACGTGACTGTACCAATGGCAGTCCCAGTTGCCATTGTTAGGTGGCTCCCACACAGTCGCAGCATCCCGCGAGCACGTGATCACCATTTGCGACCTCCTGCTGGTTTCCCCATTGACTTTGCTTATTGGAAGCTGGCAGTGAAGGTCGCAAATGACAATCACGTGGCCATGGGCTGCTGCGACATTGTAATTGTGTGCCAATTGCTGAGCACCTGAATTGCAGTCACGTGACTGTGGAGATGCTGTGACGGCTGCAACTACAAGAACCTGTCATAAGTACCCCTCTTTTAGCGCTTTCATAACTTTGAAGGTTGCTGAACGAGTGGTTGTTGAATGAGGACTACCTGTAGAAGATTAGACAGAATTCTTGAAGGCTCACAAGAATCAATTTTCAATGTACCTTTTGGACAAAATTTCTTAGATTAATTTCCATTTGGATATCTATGTTTAGGTAGTTTCAAAGACCCCAGTCCTGTGGTTTTGAAAGGTCTTTGTTGATAAAGCTGATGATATGGACAGGTTGCTTGGGGATTCATTAGCCACTCTTGATCTGTGCTGTTTTCACTTGCTAAAATCTGGCAGGCCTGGATTTCAGTATAGTTTATCCCTCTCTGCAAGGAGGAGAAATTCCCATTGTACTTAAAGACTTTTAAATTAATTCTGCATAATGTTCTGTATGTAATGTAATGTAATGAAAAAGCAGCTTCTCATCTTCAGAGGGTCTTGGGTGAAAGTAATAGTTGGAGCTGTTTGGTGAGTTTCAGAAGAGAAAGAGATTGAGTTTCTTGAGTGGGTGAACTACAGTATGCCATGGAAAGGCATATTTGTTTTTATTGATCACTATCATGACCTTCAATTCCATTGATCATAATAGCATTCTTCTCAATTCCTTGATTGGAGAACATTGTATTGTCATCTGTTTCACACATTATTCTAAGCCAGTGTTTCTTAAACTTTTTCTCTCAAGACCCTTCCCACTTTTAAAAGTTATGATGGAATCCAATTGTTTGTATGGGTTATATTTATTAATATTTACCATATTAAACATTAAAATTGATGCATTTACTGCTGCTACTGCTTCTCAAATTCATTTGATAGGATTTTAATATTGTATTATTTTTCAACATAGACTGCCAAATAATTTTGATTTCGAGGACCCCTGAGAGGGCCTTGGAGGACCCCTAGAAGTCCTAGGACCACACTCTAAGAAACACAGTTCTAAGCTGTTTGTTTCATTTAATACATTGGTTGAACATACTGTTTGACTATTTAAAGTACTGTGCAAAGTAGCCATTTGTGGCTTAGTCAAGAAAGACATTTTAAAGCAAACCTTGGCTTAGTGTGGTATATTAATTCAGCTGTTCCTGTATTAGCATGAAAAGGGTACTAGCCTGCTCCTGTTCCACCCTAAGGCTGCTTGAGTGTCTGATTCATGCTAAAAAAATTGAGCTAAAGTGTCATCAGTATGAGGAGGATAGAAACTCTTACTTATTCCTACTAATATCACAAAGTAAGTAATTTCTCTAGTAAGTAGAAGATATCTAAATTCTGAATAGGCATCCAGAGGCAGGTTTAGGTTGAGTGTGGATAAACAAGTTAGGCTTCATCCAGCTAAGTTAGAAGTATAATGGCTGGAAAACCTACTGCTCTGGGTGGTGAAGTTGTGCTTTTCCCCTGAAGGACCAAGTTCTCAGTGTAGAAGTTCTCAACATATAACTTGTGGACATGCAGATAGAGGTGATTTCATCAGTTTTGCCTGATTCGCCTACTGTGTGCAGAATGAAGAATAAAGGAATCTACCTTGTCCTGGATAATGTTTGTCATTTAGCCCAATATTGTTGAACATGGCTCTCTGGGGTCTCCAGCAATTCTCTGTCCTGGAGTCCTTGGCTTGGGTGAAGGTGCTAGCAATTAAACTTGAGATCTGTGGAGAAGTACAGAACTCTTGCTGCTTCTTCTAAAGTGTTTATTACAAGTACATCCTATCTACATATCCATAAAACTGTCCTCAGTAATCATGAAATATTAACCGTTACTGGATATGTTGGTTACCAGTTTGATCCTGGGCTCAAGTCATGGTGCTGCTTTTGACCATAAAGCTTTAAATGAAGAAATGTTTTTAGATAAATTTGCCTAGGAACCCATTTCTCTTCAGAAGTCTTTTTCAGCTCTCCTTGTCCCCCTTTATTTGTGCAGCAAATAAGTTCCAGAGATAGGAACTTTCTGTGTGGCTTCCCCAATTTGAAACCGTCTCCCTAGAAAGTCCACAAAACCACAATTTTAAAGGCAGTACTTTTGTTATGTGTGGCTGCTCTTGGATTCTGTGCCTGGATGGTTGTCTGGATGTTCACGTATATAAATTGCCTTGCATCTAATTGAGAAGGCAGTATAGACGTTCCAGGAACAAATACCGTAATGCACTGGGTGCAGCTGAAAAGGGAAATGAAAATAAGAGAACTGATAGACAAAAGGCCACATACAGGTGAAACTCGAAAAATTAGAATATCGTGCAAATGTTCATTTATGTCAGTAAG